CATAAGTTAGATTATTTAGGCAAGTTAGTTAAGGATTAAAATTGAATGTTAACATATTTTTAGAGTGAGATATACACAAAAACTCCACTATGGAGTGGGGTGAGCTGCTTTTTAAACTATAGAACTTGTCAGGCTCAGTGGCTCACAACCTGTAATCCAGCACTTCGGGAGGCCAAAGCAGGAAGATTGCTTGACCCCAGGAGTTTGACATCACCTGGGCAACACCCTGTCTCAAAAAAAATTTAAAAATTATCCAGGAGTGGTGGTGCACACCTGTAAGCCCCAGCTACTCAGGAGGCTGAATAGGGAGGATCACTTGAGCCCAGGAGTTGGAGACTGCAGTGAGCTATGATCGTGTCACTGCACTCCGTCCTGGGCAGCAGAGCAAGACCCAGTCTCTAAAAAATAAACCGTAAAACTCACGACAGATTATATAGCCCACCCCCCCCCTTGTCTCCCGGGAAAACTGTGGCTCTAAGATGACTCTTCCAGTGTAACTCCAGTCTCTTACTCTGTGTGGATGTTGGGGCTAGAATTGAGCATTTGAGATTCAGAAGGCCTGTGACACCCATTCCTAGTGTCCCAAGGAGGATAGTTGTCAACGTAATCAATCTGTTTTAAGATTGGGGTGGGTGGATTTTCCATGCTTTTGGCTTTTGTTAACAACTATGTTTCTTATAACACTGTTGACTGAATTTGAGTATACTCTGCAATATGATGAAGCTATGATCTGATTTTTAACAGAGCATTTTTTCATGCTGTTAATAGCAGTCAATGCCTACATATAATTAATACCAAAAATATTTTATCTGTCTAGTCTTAAATGATAATTTAAAAGTGTAATTAGCTCTCAGCCCATCTATATAGCTTTTCAAAATATCAGAAGACTAGTATCATCATATACTTTTAACAAAAATGAATAATTCTAAAACTTAGATACTAATAATTAAATGTTATTTTTAAGAGGAGGGAAGTAGACTATTAAATTTAATTTTTATGGTTGCAAATAATTCTCTAAAATGTAATACATGCCCAAAAGAACTCAGCTTGTATTCAGAAAATGTTTTAAGAAAGCCAAAAAGAGGCTGGGCGCAGTGGCTGACGCCTGTAATCCTAGCTCTCTGGGAGGCCGAGGCGGGCGGATTGTTTGAGCTCAGGAGTTCGAAACCAGCCTGAGCAAGAGCGAGACCCTGTCT